TTTACAAGACAGCTACTGGCAAATTTTAAAACTACCAAGTGATGAGATGGACAATCTTCTGTGGGTGGGAGGGGGTTTGGGCCACTGTGTCCTGTTGTTTGATGTTGGAAACACTGTGCTAGTGGCCTGTAATAGAAAAAATATCTACTTGTAGATCATTTATTTTGATGTATTAAAACTGTGCTAGTGACCTATAAAGCAGTAGTGACTGGTGATCATAGGTGGTAGGCGGGCTCTGCATATTTTAACATAAACGAAAATCTACAATTAATCACATTTGTCAAAGAATTGAAAAAATTTAAAGTATAAATTTGTAATACAAACACAAATACATGTTCCCCACGGGCTTCACCCCGTTTGACTAAATCAGTATTATTAAACTATTGATTGGTTAAGTTAAGCTGAAGCTGAAATAAACAAAACAGAATACAGTAATACAAACAAATAATCACACCTGCTTTTTTAAAAAGGTAATAAGTTGAAAGAATAACATGGAAATGAATAAGTACAGCTGAGGAATTTTTACATTAGGTATGTGTAAAGTTCCCTTTAGAAAGGAATTACATCCTTAAAGGGCAATTTAAGAAATAATGGATATTTTTGAGCAAGGTTTCTTGTCATGACGAACATTTTTATATGGTTTATGGGGGTGTTACTTGTAGTTTTCTCAAAAGTCCATGGGTACTTTAGGACTTATATATTAATTTGTAGATCAGTACGACATTTCATTATTTTCTGATTTATATATGGATTGTTTTCAAGGCTGCTATTATATTTAACTTAATAAAAATGACTGCAAATGGGTCTGTCCTGAAAATAACACTAACAAAATAATGGTTATATTCTATAAAATATCTGAGGTAATAAGGAATAGAAAGCCATTCCTCAGCCCTGTTTGGTTGTTCTGCCATAAGACTGCATGTATAAGGATTGGGTCATTTGGGTCGACCGCGTCCTCCTTACTATGCAAGTAACGATAAAAAATAAGTCATTCCTGGATTGAATTATCTAACTACTTGATATATTTATATTGTTTTAAGTACTCTCTAAAATAATTTAACTGCTTAATATAAAAATGTAATTTATGTAGGGGGTGTGGCGCCCGAGAGTCCCTATGGGCTAGCCGCCACTGCTATAAAGTATTGCAGTATCCGCAGTTCCTTCATGATAAAATTGAAGAAATGGAGTAAATATCAGAGCTAGCTGATAATTAATGTTGAAACCACTCTGTTTTTGCCCTGTAATTGAGAAAAGCGAAGGAGATAGTAGACTGTTTCATGTTGGAACACTGTTCTGCTATCAAATTACTGTTCTAGTGACCTGTAATAGAGAGAAATGTCAGAGTTTGATAGTTTTATATTGGAAACACTCTGTTGGTGTCCTAATACAGAAAAGCAGAAGAGATAGTAGACTGTTTGATTTCGGAAACACTATTCTAGTGAGCTGTAATAGAGAAAATTGTCAGAATTTGATGGTTTAATGTCGGAAACACTCTGTTGGTGCCTTGTAATAGAGAAAAACAGAAGAGATTAGTAGACTGTTTATTGTTGGAAACATTGTTCAGTGACCTGTAATAGAGAAAAATATCAGAGCTTGTTAATGGTTTGTTGTTGGAAACATTGTTCAGTGACCTGTAATAGAGAAAAATATCAGAGCTTGTTAATGGTTTGACGTTGGAAACATTGTTGAGGCTCGGTAATAGAGAAAAGCAGTGCCCTGTAATATACAGGGTGTCCCGGAACTCTCTACCAATATTTTAGGGCATTGTTCCTGGGTAAGAAACATATCTAAATATCATATTTAAATTGTCCGGAAGTCCTTAGTTACTCAGATAGCCGCCATTTTGTTTTTTTCACTTATTAATTTTTTTCTGAAAATTGGTTAAACATACGAAGTTGAAACTTTGCACAAACATTTATGACAACTAGACAAAGCTACAAAAAAAATATGACGATTTTTCAAATTCATAAAACAAAATGGTGGCTGTTTAAAATTTTGTTTCTTAAATTACTCAAAAACCGTTGATTTTAAAAAAATTTTACAAGAATAACTTTTTAAGGCAATTTTATTACAAATCGATCGACACCTTAATCTTTAAGATCGGACGAGTATTAACAGAGATATGGCAGTTTTAGTGATACGTGACCGCTTTCAGCATGCGCTGCAACTAATATCCGGCGGTAATAACCAATTTTCAGAAAAAAATTAATAAGTGAAAAAACAAAATGGCGGCTATCTGAGTAACTAAGGACTTCCGGACAATTTAAATATGATATTTAGATATGTTTCTTACCCAGGAACAATGCCCTAAAATATTGGTAGAGAGTTCCGGGACACCCTGTAGAAAAGTGGAACAGATAGTATACTGTTTGTTGTTCGAACACTGTTCTAGTGACCTTTAATGGAGAAAATCATAAGAGGTTATTGGCTGTTTGACGTTACATGTTCAAGAGCCCTGTAATAGAGAAAACTAAGTTGGTTGACTTATTGATATTGGCAACACTGTGTTAGTTGTCTGTATTGGAAAAATTTGATGTTATTAAGGGTTTGATGTTGTGGCCAGTAATAGAGAACAGCATCAGAGCTAGTTGACTTTTTGATGCTGGAAACACTTTAACAAGAGAAAAACTTAAGCAAGTTTGTGTTTTATGAGCATATGGATTTTAGTAGTGCAGGGTACCTGAGTTGTATAATTCATAAATGTAAGAAATTGTGACAAAATCTCATTTTTACACTGAATGATCAGTTTCTAACTTTCCTTCTAAATTGTACAATTTGGCAATTGGAAAACTTTATAGATTTATAATTAAGCTGTTCATGATCCTTAATATTGATTTGAATAATATAAAAGTTCCTGTGTAACAGAAGCCTTTCCCTACAGTCAAAGTGGGCTTCCTTGCACTGATTGTAATACAGAAAGCTGCTAATTGCTGCATTTACTTACTTTGCCGCACACTTTATTACTTTGTCACAGTTTTTTTTTTTTTTTGCACACCAGTATTCCAGCCTAACAACACAAACCAGTGTGCTTTTATTATGCATGTAATCCATGTACACTTGGAAATTGATTGTCAACACTTTAAGATATTAGGACTACGATCAGCTGGTCCTTAAAAAATCTTCCTTAGGTACTAATCCATATGGTATCTCTAGGAGTTTTTTTTCCAGTTTTTTGGAAATTTGGATTTTTAAATGCGATTTTCCCATAAGATATAAGAAAAAAGTCAAATTTTCTCAATAACGCCCTGAACGATTTTGATAGAAATTTAGCATGCTATAATCCTTCTAATTCTAGGCAAAACAGTACAACTCCCATTCCGGTTAAAATTACGGTAAAAATATTTCTGTAACTTACGTTATTTTCCCATTAAAAATCCCATAAATCAGATTTTTGAAAAAACCGGTTTTGATTGAAATTTGTTATGGTCTTCATAATTCTAAACAAAACAGTGCAATCACCCATTGCTTTAAAACTAAAGATATTGTAATATTTCCCCATAAAAACCCACGAAAAACAGAAATATGGATTACAAAAGCTAGTTCTGATATGGTTATAATTCAACAAAATAGTGCAACCCCCCATTAGTGTACAAATTACGATTCAAAAGCTTTTGTGATTTCACCTATAAATATCATAGTTAGTTACTCTCATCGCTTACTCATGATAAAGGTTGTTGACAAGCTAATGAGAGAAAGTAAGTGTACATATTGCTGGTACTATTCATTTTATAATACTTTTATTCATAAGGAAAAACATAGAGCAGATGAATATATCATGGTAAAAGCAAAGGCATACTTACTATCATTTGTCTTTTGTTACTCTTGATTGCATTATTTATAATTTGAACTGTTTATAACCAAAATTTCCAAAATAAAAATAAAAATACAGGGTGTAAGGTTTACATACAATAACTTCCATGAAAATAAATTGAATTTTTTTAGTAGATGACAGTTTAACAAGAACCAATGTAAGTAACATCACAATATAGGATTTCGTTTTAAAAACCCTTTACAATTTGGCAACTCCTTATTACAATAAGTTTAAGTTTAAGAAAACAACACAACTCTTAGTACGGTAACATTCAATTTCTAAAGTGATCTATGTTTTTAAGATATTCACATTTATATTTTTCAAACATTTATATTGCTCAATGAGTAAAAAAGTCATTTATAATCTTACTAAGGGCTAGACAGTCTCATTTATTTGGCACAAACTACTCATTAGGTTTTAGGAATGTTAAGCCAACCTGTGTATACTTTTGTACTCAAACTAAGAAACTGACAAGGAATTCATACTAGATTTGGAGTGCAATCAATGACAGTTTAAAATTGTTCGTAAAAGTTCTTTTGGTGTATGGACACATTTTGGAGGGTGGAGAAGCTCTTAACTTTTAGAAGCTTTAATCGTTTGAAAATGATTCTATGGAAAAGTGTTTAGTTAAATGTTTTTACCTGTAACTGGGCTAAAATTATTAATATAGCTTAGCTTTGTTAGTGTTTTTTTTTTATTTCAAGATTTTACTAAATTTTTGGTGGTTGTTAATCCAAACAATGCCTTAACAACTAGAATTTGTATTGGATAAAATTTAAACTAAAGTGGTATTTGGTTGCAATATAAAGTTTATAGTTTTTTTTAGTTTTATAATAGTTAATTATATACTTTTACTAAAAAACTTGTTGATGTGATACATCATCAACATGTTACACCATCATAAATATTGAGAAGTTTTTAAATAACCAACATCTTAAAATGTACTCAAGATGTGCGTAGATTGATTTACTGATTTAATTCCTAACCATGCCTATAACGTTTAATATTCTATTTGCTCATCACACAAAAGTTCAATAACTTACTACAATTAGATGATTGTCATCTTGTTATCAAATAGTTTATCAAGAGTAGGCTATTAAAATTTGTAATACCTAAAATTTGACATGTGTTAGCACAATTTATTTTTGATTTTTCACAACTCGATAGTATTATTACCATCTATTCGTAAGATAAACATACTCTACAAATATTTGCCAAAGGCAGTAACACAATAAGGTTTTATAAAAAATACATCTTGTAACAAAAATAAAACTTCACAATGTCAATGAAAACATTTTCTAAAATATATTATTAGGAAGAGGCCTGTGCTTCTGATGAAACATGAGGGTTTGATCGAGAAATATCCTCCATATTACTACTCGCGTCTTCCAACGACCGACACTTTGTGCGCCGGGAAGACTCAAAGTTCTTCGGTTGGATTTGGTTTTTAGAAAAACTGGAGTCTATCTTGAACCTGTCTTCTAAAGCGTCCAAACTGCAAGTCGGCACTATCCTGTGAGGAAACCTCGGCGACCCCCTGACTTTCAGTACAGGCTGTGAATTTTGGTGCGTAATCGAAAACGACACCCTGTGAGATAAAGATTGCGACGACCTAGCGTGGGTTTGTGGAGAATCCTCGTCACTGTCGTCCTTAAACATCCTACTTATCCTTCTGGACACCTCGTCATCGTCTCGTTTGATACAGTATCTACTCGTGTTGGAAGAGTCTAGGCTACCGGAGCGACTTTTGTTGCTAGGCACCAGACCGGCTATGTAGCCCATGTGGGTTTTCAATGCCGCTGCTATCCCCCCTGTACCTGTTCCCCCGTAGGACACTGAAGATGTTTTCCTACTAGAGGTTCCTCGAGGTCCTAACATGTTCAAGAGTTTCCCGAACACAGTAAGTTTGCCCGAGTCTTCCTCTAGCTGCGGTGAGGAAGGACCAGCCTCCTCTAGTCTCGGCTCAGAGCTGAAGGTGACTCCGTGAGCCAGTACGCAATGTTCAGCGCTTGGCCAGCTTGCTCTGGGGATGACAGGTGGCAACACTGATAACAGCAACATCGGCAGCGTCCCACTCACTGAGGTCGGAGGCAGAGGACCGCGTGGTAACGGCAGATCCTCCTGGAAAGTTTGTGTTTGTTAGTGTTACAAGTATTAATGTTTACACTGTAATTTCATCGAATATTGAATTGTATTAAGTTAGAAATTGTCTCTAACTTTTTTATGGCACTGTTTACACTAAGTAATAAATTTAAAATTACATATTGATTTCAAAGTAAAGTAATTGGGGTATTGAAAAAATGGTGCTTCTAAACATTGGCCATCAACATTGACGATGCATTTTTTTGATAACTCACAGAAATTCATCAAAATAATGTTGTTTCTCGTCAAAAGATATAAATAAAATTCCAATGTTTAGTCATTCCAACATCAATGACTAACTTATCACAATTTTTAAAGATGATTCATGTGCCAAACACTTCTTTTAGTCATTTTACAAACAATTCATCCGTAGTAAAACTCATAACTTTCCATTCTATTATAAACTTGTCGTAAAAAAAAATCAGTATCATTCCTCATGCTGCAAAAATAATGAAAATGAGGTTTAAAAATTAAACACCAACGATACACTACAAAATACTGACATAACCAAAGCTTTCATGCAACATTCCACAAGTAAGATTGTGTTAGGAAAATGAGCCATTCTACTAATCACAGGAAATGAACGTTAAAGGAAAATTATGAAAGAGCGTAAACCTTGTGCTTGGTGCAAGTGACGTTCTTTGTGTTGTAGAAGTGACAAGTCTTTGCAGTGATAATTTGTGGTTGTAAAATGAAACAATATCTTTAACACATTTTTACTATGATCCAAGAATTTTGTTGTATAAGTGATCTCTTTATTATATAAATTTTAAGAATTGAGACAACACATTCTGTCATTTATGCCTTAAAGCTTCAAAACTAGCTGCTTTGGCGATTGAAAAGTCAAAGTAGATTTACTAGATGTTTATAGTTTGTTTGAACAGACATTTATTTTGCTAATAAACTATTTTATGTCGCCTTATACAATATACTTTATGATATTATGTCAATGGTGTTGCTCTTTTGGCAAGGTTACTTGCTACTACAGTAGAGTCCCGCAAACTCGGCACTCGATAACCCGGCCGTCTGGATAACTCGGCCATCACCTGGCTCAGAAAATTAGTGATTTTTTGAGTCCAAGTTCAACATGTACTCAAGACAGCTCAAGTAAAATCATTCACAACTCGTACCAAGGATTTATTGTACAATATCTGATGACTTAATCCTGACTTGTAATATATTAAATATAAATAACAAAGGCAGCTAAAAGGCTTAAAAATTGTATTGTTCTTATTTTTAACCCTATTTCCTGATAACCCGGCATTTCACAAACTCGGCACCCTTCCAGTGCACATTACGCTGAGTTTGCGGGACTCTAACAAAGGCAGCTAAAAGGCTTAAAAATTGTATTGTTCTTATTTTTAACCCTAGTTCCCGATAACTCGGCATTTCACAAACTCGGCAACCTTCCAGTCCACATTACGCTGAGTTTGCGGGACTCTACTGTACTTTGCTTATGAGTTTTTCGCATGAATTAAACTTTAAGTTCATTATTGTGTGTAGTTGTTAATACCTGAGCCTCATTTTATAATTTTTCACAGTTTTGAAAATTTAGACTTTTTTCATTTAAGTCTTTTATAAATTAATCTCAATTAATTATAGTTTAGCTGTTTCTAAACTAAATGTGCAACAAAAATCCATTATCTTTTCAATTTTCTAGTCTAAAAAAATTGTATTCACACTCTTTCCACCTCATTCAAGTAACACAGACCTTACTTACTTTGTTGTGTTGTGTGCTCGTGTGTGTGGTGTTTGTCTTCTTGACATCCACAACGTTTAAACTTACAAAATATGAATGTAGGGAGCCAATGCACAGCAGAGATTAAAGAATAAAAGTATAGCATTAAATCATATTAATTAAAAAGCAAGTTATATGCAAATAGTCAAAACTTTACACATTCTTTCTATTATAATTTAAAAATATGCTTAATAAGAAGAAAAATAAAACACAAAGATTACCCTTAAAGCTCAGCTCTGAAGCAAAAGGCAGCGGAACAACATGATAGTACAATACAGCCAACATGTACATGGCAAAACATTAACATGCATATTACATTTAATTGATCATAAAGTACTGTGATTATACATTTAAAGCTATAGCTCAGCTTATGTCTAAATCCACCATAATTAATGAGAAAATAAAATAAACTAATGAATGGTTTTAATTTGTCGATAAACAACTTTGAGTAACTAGTACTTAACCACTGATCCCTTTCAAAAGCACATTTTCTAGGTAATATTTTGTCATAGAAATGTCGATTAAATGATCAAATTTTAAAAGTAAATAGATTGACAACCTATTTAACATTGCGTTTGCTCGTTCACATGGGCTCACATCGCTTATTCTTCAAATGTATCAAACAAAGCCAAGGGTGAGACAGTACACTGGCAAATTTTTTAAAGTGTTGTTAGTTGCGCTACCAAATGATCAACCTACTCATCTAACGCGACTTATCTTACAGTCGGAATTAACTATGCTAGTCTTCCAACTCTTCAATTAAAATTCTTGAAATCTCATTTGTGAAATTTTAATTTTTTTACATTTTGCAAAGTTAAAGTTACTTTGTAAATCTTTTGTTGTGTAAGTGAAAGAAGAATGGTGTGTCATACTTGTTCTTGTGTCTTAAATTTTCATCAGCCAACTGTGCGATAGGACTTTCTTGAAACTGAATTAAGTGAATCAATATTTGATGTGTAGGAAAACATAGTTAAAACTATCAACCCAAACAGTAGTATTAGTTTTCTCCTTACAGTAGTTATGTTTTCCACAAGTCTGTTAACACATGTATACTCTGATCTTTTGAACAGTATGATAACTTTATCATAGTTTACCTTGCGTGAGACGACCGATGAGTGAGAGCTAGATGCAGCCAGTGAAGTATCGCTGGTCAAAGCCTTCTCCAGTTTGGCTATCTCGTTGTCGAGAACTGTTAACTCTCTCCGGTACACTCTGTTCTGTACTTCCACACGGTAGTAGACCTCTCGTCTGTCGTCTATGAGGAATCTGAGGGAGGAACGAAACATGAACATGTGGAAGAGTGATTGGCATTGGTTTTAGATGATATAATTTTGAGTTATCTATTTGTGAAATTACCTATACAGAACAGTAGCGTTGGTGATTGTTGACTGGAATGAGCAAATAATCTAAGCTTTATAACCAACTAGCTGTACCCACAGGCATTGCCCCGTTTAACTTCACAGGTGAGCTTGTTCGCATGGCTCAATCACGTCCTGGTTGAAGTTCGTTCGCTACGCTCACTCACCTTTAGGTTGGAGAACGTTCGCTGCGCTCACTTGCCTTCAGGTTAGCTCGTTCGCTACACTAACTCGCCTCCAGGTTGAAGCTCGTTCGCTACGCTCACTCACCTTTTGGTTACAAATTAGCTGTTGTCATAAATTAAAAAAATAATAGTACTGCATCCTGTTGGTAATCCTTGTAACTTTAATGCTATTGAACATCATAGAACAGATCCAACTTGTTTAATTGAAACAGCTGTTAAGATTCATTAATTCCATTTAAATATGAGTACTCATAAGGTTAACATGGGAAACTCCAGAGCCACTGGGGCAGAGCCCGAGAGTCCGATCAGGATAAAAACAACTTAGTTTTCCTATTTAATTCCTAAAGAATCAGTGTAACAAATTTCAGCCTCCTAGGTAAATGGGAAGTAAGAGAATTAGTGATGAGTGAGTGAGTGAGTGAGTGAGTCAGTCAGTGAGGGCTTTGCCTTTTATATATATAGATTCCAAAATATTTTATGAAAATATAAATATTAAAAAAAAAAAGAATCTAGGCACCAGAGAGGCCTCCGGCTTACAGCATTATCACTTAAATAAAATCTATTATTAATTGATGGGATCTGAGCCCATGACCTCATGGACCAAAATTACACACTCTACCACTAGACCAAATCACTCTTCACTAAATAGAGACCGTACTAGTAAACAATAGTCATAAAAAACTAATTAAGTACTTGGGAAAAATTATTTAAAAGAGTTATTACTTTAATTTGCATTTCCAAATTCACTATTCCTCAACAAACTGACAATAATCAATCGTAAATTTAAACTTCAGATAAGAAAAACTAGCCTTTAATAATTTTTTACCATTTCAATTTCTTAGAATCAAATCAATTTTCATTCATAAACCTAATAACTACCTTCTGGTGTTGCACTCTATCTTCAGCCCCATGCTGTGGGTGACAGGGTCGACGGTGGCGTCCCTGTGGTGTAGGATGGCGTGTATCTTGGGTAGGAACAGGAGACACAGCGAGGTTGTTGTGGAGGCGAGGATCAGAAGAGTAATGGTAACAAAGGCGAGAGTCGCTCTCTCAGAGATAAGGTTGGCCAACACAACCACCAACGCCGACGTAATCACAACACTGTACACGCTTAGACCGATGTACTGCGAGTCATTGAGCGCTGGGATCTTGACATGCCTGTGAACATAACAGTTGTCTTAGTAGTGCCACAGGGAAGTAAGAAACAGAGGATACATTCAATGGTACACTTAAGTGGTGTCTAGCACAGGTCGCTGGTGTCCAGAGAGAATCTGATTCGTTGTCAGAACAGGTGGAGCAGGGATACTGTATACAATTTTGCAAAAAGTAGGTGATACCCTAGCATAAACAATTCTTAAGATTCAGCTAGCCTTTGGAGAAGATGCTATGGATGTAACACAGACAAAAGAGCGGTACAACTGATTCAAAGATTTCTGCACTTCGGTGGACCGTGAATCTTGTTCTGGGAGACCAACAGCAAGTCGAAACAATGAAGTTATCTATCCAGTTCGAGTTGTAGTGATGGAGCTGTTACTGTTTGTGAACTAGTTACGGAAGTTGCGATCAGTATCGGTTCAGTTAATTTCAATTTTAACAGAAGATTTGGCTGTGTGCAGAGTCGCTGCAAAATCTTTCCCAAAGCACTTGACTGATGGACAAAAGGAATTGCGGTTTGAAGTTGCTCAAGACATGATGGAATGTATTCAGAATGACCCAAACTTTCTAAAAACAATTATAACTTGTGAGTTGTGATGAGTCATGGGTGTACGGGTATGATCTTGAAACTACAGTGCAGTCTTCTCAGTGGAAACAATCAAAGCCATGCTGACTGTTTGTTTTTAATGTAATGGAGTAGTCTTGAGTACCCACTTCTGAGGGACAAAACATTACTCAAGAGTACTAGCTACTTAGAAGATCTACGCCGCATGCTCGATGCAGTGCGTCGCAAGCGTCCCGATTAATGGGCCACGATGAACTTCAAATTTCAAATTCATGTTTCATGCTTATTTTTGATCCTATTTTAATTTATAAAGAGATTCTGAACATCTACAGGAAAATAGCTTTCATTTTGTACCAACCGTGAGTAATTTGTTCCAATTCCAGTTGTACGGCCAGGCTAGCTTTTACAAAAGTTTTTTAATATATAAGATAATCTAAACTCAAACTATTAACTTTTCTGAATCTTACCTTGTCTCCCAAGCCATATAGACTCCCACTATCAACAGTAGACCCTTGTAAGCGTACAGAGCTCCGAGCCAGCTGTGAGTGAACTGCGACCCGCATACTTCGACCTGTAGAGAACATGTTACTGGAGAGAACATATTTAGGGACCAAACTTGCTTACAGTTTTCATAGTCATTGTGGTAAAATAAAATGAGGATCACTTAGGTTTTTCGTTTAAGTATTTTGAGAAGCCAAACAAACTGGCTAAGGACAATAAGGAACAAATGTACAAAAGGGTTCCAGAGAGTTCCTGGGCACCCTGTATATTTTCAAATTTAGTAGGACTTGAATAACTGATAAATACGAAGAAAAGGAGTAATTATTATGAACAATTAATTGCTTTTCTTGGACTCCTCAAGTAACAAAGATGACAAAATAAACAGTTCAATCCGTCCACCATTTCTTGTACCAAATTTGTTCAATGGTCTATTTCAGCCACACATGGCAAAAACTTCTCCAGTAGCTGTCTGGACACACCTCTTAGATAAACCAAATCCTTTCTCAACATGACAAGTTTAATTCTACCAAACATTTTACGAAATGGCGCATTCAATATCCGATTGCACCCATTTAGAGTACTATAATTTAGTTGGTTGTTGGTGGTAACTCACTGTACCTGAGGTTGGTAGACGACGCTGCGGTCTATGGAGCTGATCTCCAGGGTGAGATTTCTAAGTTGTCTTTGCATCGGGTCTACAGCGACCCACAATGTGACTATCAGTCCGTCTATTACGAGCAGAACACATATCAGGGAGATCAGCTGGGTGTCTTGCAGGAGCTGTCGAGCATAAAAAACAATCAGCGTTTTCGTTAAAGAGGTTTCGAGGTTTGACGGCCCAATTTATCCTTGCATTGTCCACATAGACCTGATTGTGGAACTTAACCAGCAAAGGATGACAAAGCAAACTAGGATGAGGATGTATTGGAATTGCACTATTGTTACTATTTCCAACTACAGTACTTCAAAATAAAGAAATTAAGCATCTCTAGCATAAGATTACTTGATATTGGATCCTCAGGAATGAGCTGTCTTATAGTGTTCTTTTTTTAAGTAACCATTTGAATATTTATTTATTTAATAATAACATTAATAATAGGATCCTAGTTCCAAGAAGAAGAAAATATATGGTGGGTTTGGATTCATATATGATACCTATAGTTGTTTTACCCTTTTTTGGAACTGACTGAAAAAGAATAAAATAGCAAAAAGTTTTGTTCTTTAACGCTTTGCCAAAAAACTTAAGGTAAAGAACAGGATTAATTTCTTTACTTGTTTGGGCAACAGTAAATGATTGCGTGATTGAAACTCACCTTATTTTTCACCACTCCACTAGCACTCCTAGTAAATATTCTATGTACTCTATAGGTTTTGGTAAACATTGATCCGAAGGCCAAAGAAAACCCAGCAGACAGTAGGTACACCCTTGCCTAAAACAAAACATCATTAAAATTGATATGTTGTGACAGTAAACAAAACCTCTTGATTCTCTCCTTCTGTCTCTATGTGTGTTAAGTTATACCTATTATCTTGAGTGAGTTTTCTCATTTGACATTTATAATTCAAAATGTCTTTATATGAAAATGTTATTAGGTAAGGGTTTGATAAATCTTTTAAATACTTAATTAAGGTAAAAGTAACTACTGGAGTTATATGGTGCATTACAGGCAAGGGGAAATCTGTCATGCAGCTGTAGAACAAAGTTTCGGATTATCAATCATGTTGTCAATAATAAGAGTTAAAAAAAAAAAAAAAAAAAAAATACCGTATGCAGATATTACTAGCGTTTTAAGTTTTTTTTTATTTTAACAGTTATTTTTTATAGGTAACAAAATAACTCCTCATCTAAACAAATGACATTACTAACTGTATCAAAATTAGGGATGTCTCGATTCTCGATACCTCGATATCTCGATACTTGAACGTTGTATCGGTATCGAGGATCAATGGTCTAAAATTCATGCCCATATCGATACCTGACACGTCTGCAAATAAGATCCCACATTCAGCAAATTACCACTATTTCTGCGGTACCAACTGTTTGGGAGCGTCAAATTTCCAAAAATATTTTTACTTAGTAATTGTAATTAATTTTAAAAAACATAACAATGTCCGAATTTCTGTCATAATTAAATCTCCATATAGTGTTAAAACTAGTTTTTACCTAAGTAATTCCAAAAATGTATCTGGAAGAGGGGTCAGCGAAGCTGTAGGTTGCCAGGGAGGTAATCATCCTAAACAGAGGCCTGGATAGTTTGACCAATAATAACTAAAAACAAAATTATGTAAATGTTTCGTTTAAGTAAAAATGTGATTACCGTGCAGACAGTAGGGAAGGCAGCTTTGGTAGGCAGTGTGTTATGATCAAGACCCAGCAGAATAACAGCCATGTATACCAGGATGGAACCAACAACTGCCATGTTGTTGAGCCTGGGACTGGACAGCTTTATGTACCTGCAATTAAAAATACATATGCACCGTCTCATAGATAACATATGAATTTATTAATAAAGCTAGGTATTCCCAGGCCCAGAATGCAGGGAGCTGTGATCGGAGAAGCAATTTAAATGGCTGTACGCTCTGCTTCTAGTAAAACGGTACCAATGACCTAAGACAAGTGGAGAGCGGATTTCACACTCCATGATCCCCTTCCGCCCCCAGGAAAACCCTAAGAAAACAATATTTGCATGCTAATAATAGTTATGACATCATAACGTTTGTTGAAAGTCAGTTTTTCGTGGTAGTTGAATTAGATGTGGTATATAGTGAATGAGGTGAAAATTGATAGGGCAGGATTTAAAAAAATTTAATCACTATAACAAAAATAATTTAGAATTTTCAGCCTAAAATATAAAAAAAAAACATTACACCTTCTTGTATGTTGGCTCCATTTTTAAAAATTTTTAACTTATTTATATAAATGTTTTTGTAAACCTGAACATGAGGGGTTTTTAATACAATTTTGTTATTTTTAATTTACAACAATAATTAATCAATTTAACCTTAGAAAGTAGAGGTAAAAAGCTGCAGGTTTACTGTACCCTCAATACTCTTGTCAAAAAACAAAATCAAAGTATGAATGGCAAATGAGTTCAGAAAAAGTAAAGATATCTTGCACATATTTCGTACTGACTACGGCCAGCTTCTTTGTGTAAAAACATTGTGTAATATTTTATTTTATTTTCTACCTTAACATCTCTTACAATTTCTTACACCAGTCAAAAATACAAAAAATTGAGGGGCTTAAATTCCATTCCCTTAAAAGCCTTTGCAATAGAAATGCCACTAGCATAGACACTAACAAGGAAACAAACATCATTACTTGAGCCTGCGGAAGTACAGGTTGAAAGCGAGGAAGCCACAGGCCAGTGTTATGCCCACGGAAGCTAGGGATGTGACTATTAAGAAGGCTGCAGGTTGGATGGTGACCACCCGCAGTTTGAACACTCGCTTGGCGATGGGAACATGGTCACCCTGCCAAGCTATCCTCTCACAACCAGCACAGTGGAAGTCTAGTATGGGGGTGGACGGGTCGTACAGCGCTACTCGCACCACCTTCCCGTCTGGAACATAGTGAAGTGGCATTAAGTAAAACCTAAAATTACAATATATTAACAATGGTAGGTCCACGTCACTATTTAACAAAATTTAATCAGTTCTATTACAAATAATTTTTTTATTAAAAGCCTTTCTATTCAAGGAATACTGACAAATTAAATTAAAACATAATGCAATATGCCAACATATCTCCTAAATTAGTGTACGATTCTAAAGAATGTAGACTAAAACGTTTAAATTTTCTGCTTTTACTTTAAAACAAGAACCATCTTGAAACGGGAAATCCCAGTGACATCAAGGTGACGTAGAAGTTGCGTGCGAGGTTATCTCATACAGAAATTTGCTCCAATTAAAAACTAATAAGATAAAATATATCGTATTCTCAACCTCGTTTCCGTTATCAGGTATTTTCTGATATATTTTATCTAATTGGTTTTTAATTGGAGCCAATTTCTGATAAGAGTTAACTTCGGAGTCAAGAATGGCGCGCGACTTCTGCGTCATCTTGATGTCCCTGGAATCCCCTGCTTCAAGGAACTTTTAGTTACTACTAACTATCATTCAGTATTGTCAAACGTCTCTGTTTTATCATAATTTTCAAATTACTCTAAATAATTCTGTATTTACAGTAAATTATATAATTATATAGTTACATATAATTGTATAGCTTTAATTAAATTTGTATAGTATTTTATTTAGATGTTAGAGCAGTTGTTTTTATTATATTTCATTTTGTTAGATGTACCTTGTACTCTATGGAATGCTGATACGCCAACTCTATCTGCTCCATAAAACGAAACTGGACCCTGAAAAATAAATAATAGACTGAACAAAATATTTTCAATTTATGCACATGTACATTTATTTAAACACAACCCCGTTTACAGGGATGTATAAAATATAATAAAATTATATTAATTTTATGCAATAAAATTAATAACCATTGAATCAAATGAAAATGAAACCTTCATTACAGTTTCTCATTAGCACATTACATTTACAATTCCATTTTGAATGCAGAACTTTATAGTTATTGTCATGTGTACAGTTCAAAATGCACACTATGATGTAATAACAGAATTTAATTACTATGTTATGTGCTTAGTGAGTGCTTCATGGCAGAGACATAAACTTAATACCAGTATTTATCTGTATATCATAAAGGTATAAGCTAAAAAAAATTCTAAAACTTATTAATGTTTCCAAAATACTTAGCATGCACATAAACACACTATAAATTTATGTGAATTGTTATGTTTTATCATTATCAATTTGTTTTTGAAATTGATAACCAATAATTTAAAACTAGTTGCTTTACTCGGGTTTGCAAAAGGAAGAGTACACAAAACAGAATAGAATACACAGTTCTTTAGATCTACTGAATGAAATAGTTCAGTCATCTTAGAAACACAACTTAATAAAACTCCTTAGTGTAATCAAATTCAAACTCGAGAAAGGGATTTAAATTTCCCTAATGTTCAGTTAAAATAATAACATATCTAAATATTAATTTGAATTAATAATTGTAAGTGGTACATATTTTGACAACTTTTAATTTATGTGTTTAAAGCTTTCAATCTGTTGATTATCAGTTATACGAGTACGTATACACCTACTAATAATTATATATTTATTTAATTATATTCTTTTTTTTCCAACAAATAATTGTTGACTTTTATTTTATTCATTTGACAAATTGTCAGTTTACACAGTTTTTTTTTTTCAAAAATGTTTAAACACTGGAAATTACAGCCATTTATTTTTCTTTTGCCTCAATATTTATCCAGTTCAATATATTCATTTTTTAAATTTCAAATCCATACGATACCTAATGTGCAAATTTTGTTGTGCATTTTTCAAACAAGATTTCAAACGTCACAGAAATGTCGGAATGTTCTCACCGATATGCCAGAAAAGCTGAGGTTGGCCATGGCGTTGAACAACCTCAAAGCCATGTGTTTCTCAGAGTAATCAAACATGGAGAGATTGAGGTGTGAGTTCCTCAAAGCCAAAGCTATGGCCCATACAGCATCATAGGTCTGGTGGACAAAGTTACTGTGGGGAGCTGGTAGTGATGATAGGAACCTCTCATTTCTCTGTAACAAAGAGAGTGGAGTAGTTTATAATAATTTAGTCTGCGAGTACTTAGAAACATTAAAGTTAATATGTAATTTACCTTGCCATGAAAACTTTTTAGTTTGTCAGTAAAAAAGTTTGTGTAGGCCAATATTTATCTTCTTGATAAAATACCACTTCATTCACTGATAAATTTAAGTGACAAAACACATTTAATGAATGCAAAAAATCTTCACCAAGATGTAATAAAGAATATTTTCCTCATATATAATAGTTTAATACATCGTATTGTAATGCTAAAAAAGCATTATAATCAAGAGTCCATTTCGCTTGTACTTTCGTTATGGTATTTTCCAACCGTATTAGGGATTGAAGGGGATGCAAAATGACGGATTTATGAGTATTGGTTTAAATTGTGCAACATATTCTCATATTGTTTGTATTTATTTATATTATTTATATGCTAAGAGGTCATTTAACTATATTACTTTCCCTTCCTATGGAGAAAGTATTGTTTTCGTTATTTTTTATAAGATGAGTTTTGGGAGAGAATCCGTACCTACCCCTGAATACAAAAATGTGTTGGGATATATTTGGATGATCTGGATGGACATTGACGCAATTTGGTATCTGGGTACTTATTCATGGCTTTTGATTTTTAAAATTTTGATTTTTAATGGTGATCTCTTAGGTAAAATCTATAAAAAAACATAAAAATTGGAAATTCACAAAATCAGCTCAGATAATTTTGATAAAATTTTTTTTATCATGTAACTTTTTTTTAAACGAAATGGTACAGCCACTAAAGCTGTAAAAGTTTATTGAAACTCAAAGGTTTTTTGCAATTTTTATGATTTTGCCTACAAAATATCCAGTTTTTTTAGGTTATTGACAAGGTAATGGGCGTCTATTTACTAAGTTTTGTTAAGATTAAAAATGATACTAGAAATTAAATCTATGGCATTTTAAATTCATTGGGAATAAAAAAAAAAATTAAACATTTATTTGACAGTAGATTATGACAAGGGGCGTGGCTCGTTTAGTGAGTTCAGTGCATAGCTTTATGACCTCAAGGTTTGGGATCGAAACCTGCCAATTACCAATGGCTTTTATGTGTGATAGTACCTAGACTCGGTGGTTAGGAACCCACATTTCGTTGTAGTCAATTAACCATCTACAAAACTAAAGGAGAAGTCTTTCAGGTGAGGAGAACAATCTCTGTAATTGAGAGCTCTTTCTGAAAGACACACAATAAAACATTATTCATACTATTTATTTAATGCAACATTGGCTCAAAGAACACGGTAGCTTTTTCAAATATTTTAAAATTAAATACATTTGCATGAAAAATAAAATTCAAAGAAGAGAAAATGTTTGGTTAAAATATAAATTATTGTATTTTTAACCCTGGAGAAAAATACTCATTTCGTCAAAACAATAATTTGTAAAATTAACAGGCTTTCCAAGAAATAATTTATACTTTATTATAGGTCACAGTGAACAGTGCAGTGTATTCCTATGCATTCAGATGTTTGAATGTTTTTGCTACAGCCCCAGTGATGACAGAAGTGCTTCAACATTGGTTTATCCATGAATTATTCATAACAGCATTGACATGTTCCAACATGGTACAAGGGATTGTGTTTGACGTTCGTAACTTAAAAATGGTTTGCACGTATCACAAATATAAACTTATATTCAACACTGTGCAATTTCCAAATAAATTTTAATATGATATTTTACTGATTTGGTTTTGTGTAGGCATATGTAGTTTAGAGAATAAGCATATTGAATATATTTTGTTATCCATTTTGTTGATGAATTGGAAACTGTTATAGATTTTATAGCAATCAATTGTTGATATTACCAGTACAACATTTTATAATGAGTAAAATATTTGTGTTGGAACAAATAGAACATTTTGAATTGACCCGAAGTAAAAATAGTCATTTATATTGTTTATAGCTGTTAGAAGCAAATATACAAAGTTGTTCTTAAATTAAAGTCTCCATCCAGCTATGAAAGCTGGTTCAAATCTTAGAATATTGACAAGTTCTTGAAGGTATTAGTTATATATTGTACGTATATCTGGAAAAATGCAGTTCTGAATTTAATACAATTTTAGCTGAATACAACCAATAGAACTGGATACTAGATGTAGGTTAATACATTTAAAATAATTAATGCTGTTTACGTTAAAGGTTTTCTATTAAAAATTTCAATTATATTATTTGAACAACCAAATAATTACCAAACTATGTTTGAAAAAACTAGGGACATTTTGATTAAAAATGTAAAATGTTAATATGACCAAAAGACACTATATTATTGTTAAAAATCAGTGAACAATTTTCTTTGTCAAATATTTGACAAAAAAGTGACAGAAATATTTTTTTGCAATAATCTTTCATTTTGCAAAACTTTTGAGCAAACAGAGTTTGGAAATATTCATTAACATTAATATACCGCTCGGTCCTGTAAGTAGAGATTTCATCTATACGTGCCAATTGTGGTCAATTATTAATTCAAAAATAGAACAGAGCAAAATTAGCCACTCGAAGAGAATAATATGTCTACAAAAGATATAATATTTGTGTATATTTAGGGATCAGTCCAGTATAAATTGTGTTGCACGCACAGCGAACAAATGACACAAAAATGCCTTCATGATCGACGAGTGCACATTCCTGATCGACGATCAATCAGGCTCATGACGTCACGGCCGCCACCTGTGGATGAATGACGGATGTGCGAGTCAGTTCCGTCATCAATTTGGTTTGACAAGCCGTGCATTAGGGCAGTGGAGGAGAAAAACTGTGGATGTTTTACGGCTAAGATATTATATTTAATCGTGTTTTTATAGTTCATTTAAAATTCTGGCAAATAATTACTGTATTTATGTTAAGCTACTGTATAAGGTTGAATGCTACGTTATAATTATTTTGCAATTTCTTGAGGTTGGATTTACAGCCTTTTTTTTCCTTGGAAGCTAGGCACGAGCCTGGGATTGTTTTTCACATTACTTCAGGCTAGACCTAGGGGTTGCGGCATTATCATTTAGATAAAATCCATTGGTGACTTGACGGGGATCGAACCCGGGACCTCACGGACTGAAGTCCCGCGCTCTAACCATTACGCCAGCTCGCTCCCCAGGATTTACAGTAATATGATTGTAAAGTTGGTTGATAAGAATGGTTAGTTCAATGGTTTGGCATCCCAACGAAGGCAATTTTATCTTAAAGGAAAAATTAAGACCTAATTTAAAAGTGGGAAAATTTAAACTAACATAATAAATAACTATAGAAAACGTACCTCACAGTCAAAAACTAAAATCCAAGTTATAGGACATAGCATAGTTTACACTTTAAGCTTATGAATAGAGAATTGAGCCCTAATATGAATGAAAGAAGGATCCAGTATATCAATACTTTTTAGCTCTTCTGTATTCTGTCTTACTTCACTCGCTAGAAATTGGAATTGAGGTAATTGTTGTTTAGTTGACACTAAATTTTCTCATAACACTGTTCTAATTGTAACCATCATTTCTTAAAAATTCAAGTAAGATACCAAGCCTACAGGGTTTTGGCATACGTATTAATCTACCGGATATTATTTGCTTAGCATACTTTCATTGATACATCTAGAAAATTAATTTTTGCCACCCATTGATTCAAAGTACCTATAGTATTTGTATTTGAACATTCCATTCAATAAAATTGAACTGTGCCCTTCAAAAGGAAAAAAATAAATGTTCATGAACATTTTGAATCTTAGATAAACCATAGATTTTACTACTTTAAATTCTTGGTATTTTATCCTATGAATATTGCGAGTCTTAAAAAACCAGAATAGTTTTGAAGTGACTGTATTCAACCACTCTGCACCAGTTCAACAGTGCTATGCTTGACTCACCAGTCCAGAGACAGAAGGCTTGTTGCCTACGATGGTGTTATGGCTGGACACTATGATGAGACCCTCCACAGCCGCGGCCATGTTTCTAGCTGGACACAGAGTCTGGTTACGCCACCATTGCTGACCACTATCTGTGTCTCCATGCAGCATCCACACATAGTCCGCTCCGAACATGCCAAGTCTGTAGGCCTGACAACACATGGTTAAGGTATATTAAGCAAATGCAAATTTTATTCAAGATCTAATACATATTTTTGTGCGTACGTAAGCTTTTGCTGCCCATTTGATTAGGGACGTAGCAGTCAAAAACGCCAAGGCACTCCTTGCTTTGTTTGGCATCTCCTTGAACATACCTAAGGCCCATGTGGATTGGTAAGGCTACATACCACAAACTTCCTAAAAATATAATTGTGTCAATTCCCGTTAAATAAAATGAAATACTAATTAAATTTTTTTTTTTAGAAACAAATTTTGAGTTTACTTTGCTAAATACAGTTCTTCAATGGAATATACCAATACAAGATACCCATATTTTTGTTTCCAAGGTATATATATATATGTATATCTTTTTTTGGTGACCATGCCAGGAGCATTTAGAATATATGAATTATACATGATTTTAAGGGAAAGTGGCTGAATCTGAATCATTTACAATTTTGTGGATATTCCGGGAAATGGATACTTCTCCAACAAAAATTTTATGCCACTGATGTACTGATGTATATTTGTTTCCTTATCAAACCTTCAACAGCACCTTTTACTTTTTAAAAATCCTTTTATATCAAAAGAAGTGCCTGGTGGTGGTCAGTATCAATATTGGTAGGAATTTGTGTTTCATTTATCATTTATTGAAATTTAAAGGTTATTTGGGCCAGTTTTGGACAAAATGTACCGATAAATTAAATCTTGGCATTGTATTAAATCTGTATTTAGATTATAACACACATTAGGTACATCACTTTGTTCCTTAAAAGAACATTATTAACATACTTATAACTTAAATAAAATCAAACTATATCAAGTTATTATAGTAGCAGGCTTTGAAGTACTCACCTCACAAAATATTTTCGGAGCAACTCTATGGGAAAAACTTCCGATTATTATTCTTGTATCGAGTTCCTGGGAAAATATTTAGATTATGACATCTGTGATTGCATCTTTAGAAAAAATAGAGTATCAGTAATATACAAATAGAAAGTGATTATTTATTATTTAAAAACTTGGTTTGGGGATAATCAGTATTCAAACTTAAGAAACTGTAGAGAAAATTGTTCTTCGTTTCCTCTACAGTTTAGTAAGATTGAATATTGTTTAGCCACAAACAAAGTTTATAATTTGAATCGCATCTACGTTGTTCGCATTTCGCCTTTTCTTTTCCCCCAAGTATCGTACTTCAGGACTAAACAAAGTAGGCCAACATGTAATCCATTCTTATTCACTAAAACCACGTATTTATTTTTACAAGAAATATTTTGATTGGTACTGTTAGCTTGAATGATGTTTAACAGTGTTGACACAAAATACGTATATATTTATATTTTTACAATGAAAAAGAAGACTCTTCATAAGGCCTTTGTAGGGAAATTTATAGCTTTGATTGTTTGTCTTGTCATCCAAAAACGTTTTTTTTTTATTGAAAGGTGGAAACTCAATAGGTTGATTGACACTATTGATAATTGGTACTAGTGAGGTATTTCTTTTATTCATTACCGATACTTGCAGTATCATTATCACCCTGTAGGCGTTACTAAATGACCACTATACATACTATAAGTCATTGGACGGAATGAAAGTTAACAACATATTACTAATGACATCAAATTCATTTACCTTTGTCCAATTCAATAAATTTATTAAAGGTTAAAAAAACCAAACAACTAAAACTTTTCAATAAGTCCATGGCACTTAATTATTTACAGTTATATTGCGTATTCGTTTATTCCAGTATCAGTGAAAACTATGGGACCAGCTAAAGCTTGAAATTGGCCAAGTTGTACTTGAGTGTTTAATTCAGTTGAGCGTTCAAGAGTGAATAACGAACCTATGAACGTTGTAGTTAAGATACAATCTCAACTCTCAACTTAATTATTGCAGTCTCTAATTATCCTGGCGTCTCTGTGAGTAAATGAACGTTTATTTATGTAACTTGTAGATTAGCGTGTGTTTCAACGCCAATTAGACTACAAAATTAAATGTAGGATTGGGGAAAAATGTTTAATTACAATATCTAATCAATTAAAATTATTGTAGGTCGTATTTATGTTAGAAACTTAATTAGAGCACATCGCTATCTAGTTAACTATTATAAAATGTTAACTAAATAAAATTTTTTATAATTTTCGATTTGTGTTTCTTACGTAAAACGATTGAAAGTGTCATTACTCAATATGGAATAGATACAATTTAAAACCCGAAAGTATTCAAAACATGACAAACTCAGTTCTACAATAATATATTGCATGCATCCATCCGACATTATGACATTTGTATTACTCACGGATATTAGAACAGATAACGGTATGGACCATAAACATTAACAAATGGCCTTACTGGCTTGAATATACGATAGTCTTGTATAAACACAACAGTAATAACAATAAAATATGATTTGGAAGTTTTTGACAGCTTCATTTGAATATTAATATGAACGATAATTTTTTCTATGTTTTCTAGTGTTTTTCTCTCTCTAGTCAATTGTTTTGTGGTTTCGGCATATAACGTATTTTTAAATCAGGTTAACCATTAAAAAATATGCATGCAATTTATTATTTGTTGACGTTTGTTTGAACATTTATTTACATGACACTACACTATTTTGACGAACTTCCCATGCAAGGATTTAGTCCAGAAAACAGCTGTTTGCCGCCAACTTAATCATATGGGGTTTCTTGCGTAATACTGTACTGTAATGAGTTTTACCGGACACCAATCAGCTGATTATACTGTATTTGGGTAGCAATGAGTGGCTATAACAAAATCATAACCTCTCTTAGAGGTTATGACTAGTGATTGTTAGTCCTTTAGTTGGTGGTAATGTATAAGGATTTCAACATATTTAGTAGTATGGCGTAAACTGTCGTACGTCACTCGTCCAAAATGTGTTTACCGGACTCGTATGGTAATCCCGTACTCGATTTTGTCTCGCACGGGAACGACAACTCTCGTCCGGTAAACACTTATTTTCAGGACTAGTAACGTAATATATTATTTGCACCTATTTAATTTCAAACCGTAAAGAGGAAAGGACAAATCTATGTAAGTTTGAGTGTTAATAGGTTTTAAAAGTTTAATTGTACGTATTGTTTACGTTACCTTAAGTAGGTTTAGCTGTTCCTTGAAGTCAGTTTCGGCAAATGTAATGGTTGCCCTGCAAGTAATATTGGCCTGCTCTAGCTGGGTTACCAAGTCGTTCACAGCCTGAAAACAAATAAATTGTTCAATAATTACTCACGAAAAAATCCAGAACTAACTTAAAAAATGCACAAGAAAATTGTTGTACGAGTTCCAATTGACACCGCCCGAATCAGAGTAAACTCAAATAAACTTATGAATATAAATTACTAATTGAAGTTTAATTTTATGTTTTTATAAAAACATTGGGCAAAACCACCACGAAAGTACAATATCTTTTACATTTATTGGTTAGTCACACTAGGGATTGTATGGTTATTGAATTAAATTACTAATTCCATTTATTTTGTTTTGTCACCTCTTTACATCTTAGGCCGCTGGGTTCTGGCCCAGAACTGTTTTACGCATTAGGCCTACTTCAGTCTAGACTAGGGGTTGCGGAATTGTCACATCTAACTCCATTAGTGACTGGCAGTATTTGAACCCGGGACCTCGGGCTACAACTCCCCGTGCTCTACCTCTATGATCTAAACTATGACTAAACTGTAATAATTATATTTAAAATATATACCACATCTTGTGTGATAGAAGATCAAAAGCAATAGCCCCACAAGTTTGGGTAACTTGGACTTAATTAGTGGTTACAGTTTCATCAACTGAATCTGAGTGCAATTCAGTCACAGAGGTCCAAAGTGGGTGTTTAATCTAAAACCACTGACATTTTAAACCGAGTAACACACCTCACAACATTATAACCAATCCCAGATTACCCTGCTAGTTTTGAGGTAATTTTACACGAAATGTAATTGGTATGACTATGTTATATATAAACTGTATTTATGACAATTAGTTTTATTAGCTTTTCAACTTGACGATTTTAATAATTTGTAGTGTATTCTTGGGGTGCTACTAAATATTAAATTGTTAATTAATTACTAAAATAGTTCTAAAATATTTTTACTTTACAGTTAACATGGTGGAAAAATAATTGGGATTGTGATACTATGGAGGTTGTGTTTTTAAACACTAAAACGTTAAAAGTTCAAATCTTATTGGACGAAACGGTAACATAAATAAACAGTTCCAATGTATCATACCAAATATCTCTGACAAACAGAACCGTGGCCGCTCACAGGGAAAAAACAAACTCAGTGGGTGTGTTCGTCAAATCATCATATTTCTGCTGTGCGTTTGTTTTCATTGGCAAACGCTATTCGGTTTCTGTTTACGCTAGTATTGTTCTATTTGACAAATAAAATATTACTTTGTGCCAAAGTGACAGTTCGTGCATTCAGTAATCACATTACTTATTACATTAGAACACTGAATACATAATATTTATTGAAAGCAATAACGTAAATGATTCGAACACATTCTAGTGCATAAAATTTTGTTCAGTATCTGCTTAAATAATACTTTGAAATTATTATTCACACTTGTATGTAAAAATATATGATTTGTCAGAGCTAATGGCTTTAACAAGAATTATGTCATTTCAAGTTCTGCATGTGTGCCACTTCTCGTGTTATAAGAAAGTAATTCAAAAGCCAATAAAGTTTATAGTGAGAAAATTAATTACTAGTACGTATATTTTTAATTTATTAGGAACACCTTTTTGTTTAATCTCAGTGCTTCCTGGCAATTAACACTTTATAATTGGAGCATTGAAAAATTTCTTAAAAAGTAACATAGTATGATCGCCCCAAAATTTCACATATAGACAAGGTTTTCACTCTTCTGGATCATTACCCATGTTATGTTGAATATTCTGAAATCGTATCTTTCTGCTTTACCTTTCAAACTTTTAACTGTTTACTCCGACGACCGATTTTCAAGACTGTCTTTGGTATTTTTTGTCATTTTATCATTCCCATGCATCGTTTCATATTAATGGGATTCAGAATAGCCTATATTATAAAAGTCGTATTTTTGATAACCTGATGCCCAAAATATTAGATAAGGGGGAAACAATTCTTTTTCGCAAGCTCGGTAACAATTAAATAAATACATTATGTATTAGCTGAACTAAATTTTAATATTTGTTGGCTGGAACTTTTTTGAAAATATTATATCCAAGGGGGCTGACGCCTTTTAAGCGTTGGTTGGGATGTCAAATTATGAAGGTAAAAATGATTAAAAGGGTGTAAATTGAATTAGGTGTTCGGGATTTAAGTTGAAACTGGTGATCCTCAAAGTACGAGGAAATAAAATGTTAAAACCCCTACATGTATCTCGGGCCTTGAAAGAGCAGGTCTTGTTTAAAAAAAATTGTGTAGCAATAGGTTATATCATGTAGTATAAAATCACATGGGGTGAGGTTTAGGGGTTCGTCGACCAGTGTAAATTGGTTACATAATTTTATTTCAGTTGGCTACAGTGGTTTATAAAACAGTCGTTTGTGAAATAAATGCGTCTTATCGTCTATTTAGTCCAGGCTATTGGAGCCAAGCTGATAATGTCAAAGGTACAAAAAATGTAGTCCATTGATTTCGTAACAGGGTTCTCACGTTTTTTTTTAAATTCCAGTGACAATTTGCTGTATGATGAGGACTTTGTTGTCCCTTTCCCGACCTAAAGTCTACCTACAAAAAAAAATTAAAGGTCTCGTAGATAGGCTAAAAAGAACAAATAAACTTTACACTACTATCTTAACACTGTTATGGTTTTAGTTGTGGCTGAAGTGCAGAGAAATCTCTCATTACCTGAGGAACCGATTCAGTTTTGAATTCTACAAAGGTATAAATATTTCTTAAAATGGACCGGGATCACTGTGTCAAAGAATCATCACATTGCCTAAACACATTGGTTACATCCGATATTTGAACCTAAACCAAAGAACAGAAGTTTCCCGTTCAAACCCAACCATTACACCAGCTGCGTTTTAAGTCAGCCTAGCCACCGACCAGTCTTCATAGTAACAAAGAATTGCAAGTAATATTCAGCTAAAGTTGTTGACGATCACTATGACAACCACGAAAGTCTACAAATTATGTTTGTTGACAAAGACAATGATGATTTGTATGGTGGATAAAATGTACATACCAAAGTGTAGTCGTCCTCATTTTGACTCAGAGCTGTGACAGTCTCCCATCTGAACCTGGTGAGGAAGGCTAGCCTCGCTGGGTTGTGGGACGAGTCTGGAGCTGCTGTGCGGTAGAACAGGGGAAACTCCCGACGATCACTCAGAGCGGGGGATAGGGAGCCGAACGACACCTGTAATGTGTAGAAATACACGTCAAAGCTAAAAATTTACATGAAATTCATACTGTTGAATAGTTGAGTGTGTATAATGTTCCTAGTGATATTATAAGGTCACCGGTTCGGCCCTAAAAAGTAAAAAGCTTTGTTGTTGTTTTTAACTGGCCCCAGTTGTCCTTGGTCATTGTTTTTTTATTGTCCTGTCTGAATAAACACATAGGGTCACTAATAGATGTCTGATTCATTTCAAACTGGGTTTTGCCTTAAAATAAACATTCTGGTGTCGGTGTCGCATAAATAAAATGTATTCAATAGCCTACAGACACATCAGTCATTGGTCATTGCACTTTTAATTATTGATTCTAGCTGAAGGGCCAGCTGATTTTCAGCCACTAAAAAGCTACAAAATATATCTCATCCTTCCCAAACTCACATTGATATTATTGATCGAAAAAAAAACATCCAAGTACCGGCTAAAATGTATTTTCAAAATATCATCACTGTATCAGATATAGTCTACAATCACTCCATAATTCACTACAAAATTAACTTTGAAGACAATCTAGTTATTGTACTTGTTTATACGTGCACTCAGTGTTTCTATTGACGAAAAAGTTATTTGTAATTTGTATTTAAATGTTTATCAAAAAATATATGAAACAGCTATTGTCAATTTGTTGACACACTGCATTCATATTTTAGTTACAACGATAAAGTGTTATTTAATTTATAGAGTATAAGGTGTTTATTATAATATATTAACTTTATTAGTTTATAAAAGTAACATACGTATACTAATATATTCCTTCATTAAGTTGAGTAATGGAAAGGGGCTAATTCTAAACTATTACCTTAAAAACTATCTTTAAGACGAAATAATGTAGCTTTCTGCACTGTAGAAGGGATAACCTTTTGGCAGAGCTATTGTAGAAGACACACGTCCAAATCGGTATAACAGACATCAAACTTGTTACATATTTTAAAAGTCTTAAATATCTGCTGATTAATTTAACAGGTTACTTTATAAAACATGGTGCAAATATATTAGACCATGCATTCCAGCTGTATGATTGTAGCAGTGAAAACACTGAACGTCCACAGAGCAAACTTAGTCGCAGCGATCTGGTTCTGTTTATTTTACTCTGTGTGTTTTGCGACAGAGAGAACAATGCGTGGGTTTAACTAACCGTTATATGAACAAATTTAGTAAAGTTTAATAGTTATAAAGGTTTAGTAGCTCAACTCGTGCTTTTCTACGGGAAATAAGCTTAAAAACCTAAGCGTTTGAAAACTGTGTCAAAAACATAAGTATTACCGATAATGAAAAAAAACATTCCATATACAATGGCAAAACATATTAGAAATATATTTATCATCGATGCATGTACAGGGAGGAAAAACGTCTAGGGACATTTAAGTATGTAAAAAAAATATAGAAAAAAACAATTAAACATGGCACAAAGTCACTGACCATTAAAATTACACATTATTCAGTGATACGCTACCATTTCAAGGGAACGGCCTGCTAGGAGTCAGAAAAAATTCTTTAATGTAAGCAAAGGACGATATGCATAACAAATTAAAGTTCTTTACTAGTAGGATACAATGCCACAAACATAACCGAATAATCGAGTCAAAAATGGTAGCCGTTCATAGATTTCTTGAATCTCCATTTTGATTCTTTGAACGGCAGTTTCAGATTCTGATTCAGATTCAGAAACACTTTATTCAAGATTTACATTTTACAAATATAAATGCAGAATGGCGTCAATAAATACAATTAATCCTATAAAATATTATCAAAATGCTCACTAAATGAGTAGTAGCATTTGCTTATTATAAATATTTTCAATTTCTTTTTAAATGTCTTAATAATACTAATTTCCATTATATCTTTAGGCAGAGAATAAAAAAACCTAGTACCTGCAGCAGTGGTTTTTTTTATTATAAAACTCTAAATTATGCCTCTGGATGGCTGGGTAGTTCCGATGCCGAGTATTATAATTATGTGTAATTCCCAATTTCGGAAGTGTATGTGTATTCATTTCACTTTTTAGATTAATTATAGTTTTATAAATATATAATCCATACACTGCAAAGATATTTAATTTAGCAAAATATTTTTTTGCCGATTGGTTTTCTCCTAAGTTTAATATGATACTATTCTTTTGTAAAATTAACATACTGTCTAAATTTTGAATGGTTGTTGCACCATATAATTCAATGCCGAATGCAATATGTGAGTTTATGTGAGCATAGTAAACTTTCAGTAAAACATTCAACGAGCAGAGTGTAGACAAGTTGTGCAGCATAAATATACCTGAACAAATTTTACTTTTTAGTTTATCAATGTGGTACAACCAAGATACATTTTGATAAATTATTAGTCCTAAGAATTTAGTTTGAGTCACTTGAGTTAAGTAATTGTTATCAATTTTTAAATGAGGTTTTAAAGCTTTTTTTGGGCAGTTGAAAAATTTACGTAATTGGTTTTCTCTGAGTTAAGCAACAAGTTTTTGCAAGATAAATATTCATATATAGATTCAAGGCTACTATTGCCTATATATTCAATGTCATTTTTTGATCTACCAGAAACTATTAAATTTGCATCATCAGCATAGATGCATAATTTACTGTTTACAGTAATTTTTTACTCAATTGTTCTTTCAATATGTATCTCAATTGCCTTTCTTGGTTATATAAGTTGATGTGCTGGGTTGACGAGGTTACAAAGGAACTAAGAAGAATGGAAACAGACCCGAGCAGACCTAGAGCTGGCAGAAGACAGAGGATCCTGGAGGCATAGTTGGCGAGGCCAAAGACCGCCTTGGTTTTCAATGGCCACAGGAGTAAGAATAATTAGGTAAGTAAGAATAAGACATTAACCTTCCTGGTTGTATTTTAAACTGTTTCTATTCATTTTACGGCAATCGAATGCATAGCTCAGTATGCAAAATAAACATAGCTATAGCTGTTTAGTTTCGTTACTGATTTTTTTACCAGTAAATAGATAAATAAAATGTGTTAATTGAAGATTAGTGATTTTCAATTATATTTTTAATTCTTACATACTATCATAGTCCTCAAAAGTTCTAATAAACCTATGCATTGCAAATTTGTAATAGGTTTCCAGTATAGTTATAAATTTTGAAATACAAACAGAATTTACCGTTAATTAGAATTCAATACCGGTTACTTCCATTAATTAGGGGAAATCTCTTTAATCACAAAACAATTTCGTTCAATTGTGCAACCTGCATAATACTCGGTGTTTATAAACATGTATTTCATAATCGGAGTGGAGATTATTGAGATATCAACTAATTAGTATTAGGGATGGAAACAAAGGTATAATGATTGACTATAGGATAACAACAGAATCCTGGTAAGAACATACATTTGTTTTGGTTCTATTAACTTTACCACACTGTTGTTACAAGGCTATAATTTAGACGAGAGAAACAAAATTGTTTCCCTTGTCTGTTGCTATATTGTCAGAATGCCACATACATTTTGATGTTCAATGTGTGCTACAGGGTGTCCCGTAACTCTCTACTGACCTTTTAAAATGCCATTTCAGGACTAAACACGAACTAAAATATCAGGCTTAAAATATCCACAACTCAAAAACTACCCATTTTATTACGTTGTTCTTTAGTGAATTCAAATTTTGTACATAGATTATTAATACTAATACTTATTTTAAGAAAAGGGTTAGTTTTTTTATTATTTTTAGTTTCAAAACGTCATTTAAAATCTTTGAATTTAAATAAAATAAACATCACACAGGTAAGCAAAACTACGTATGCTACTTAACTACTAATAAAAAAAACTTATTTTTTAAATAGAGAGTTTTATTTTACAATAAAGATTTATCTTCCAATTTGCAATTCACTACAAAACGCCTTTATTAAATAAACAATGGTTTTATAAAAATAAAAAATAAATGGCTAATCAGTTAACTTTTGAGTTTTTGAAATATTTCACTTGATATTTTTGTTCATCCAGGAATACAGGACACCTTTATATAAAATTTTAATATCAAATAAATTATTGTATCTGTATTTTTTAATGCATTAAAATAATTTTATTTATCTTCATCATACTAAACCCGGTTTTTGTTAAGTTTAACTAAGAAGTTTATTTACTGCGTATTATTAGTGACTATTTAATCACCATATATGGTAAAATAACTTTTAATATTGAAAACGAAAACCTTTAAGCTTGTTTGGACGTGTGTCTATATCTGATAATTTTTAAATGCAGAGTAAATCTATATCAATACTTTTTCAACTAAAATTTTCAGGGTGTGACTTACTGTCTAGTCGTAAAAACGGAGATTGTTTTATAAGGAATAGCGATAAAAAGAAATCGAACTTTTCATATACTCGACATAACATTCTATAGAATAATAGTCTTTACTAAATATGGCTTAAACAATTTACTGTGACTGATAATACAGATCGAATATGAATATTAAGATATATATTCACTCAATGTGGACGAACTGCGATCAGTTTTTTTTATAACTCAGGATTTTATAGAGGTGAGCGTAATTAAAAAATCTCCATGACAAAGTAGCTCTACTATATTTAATTCCAAACCAACTTTATTTTTGTAGCATTAAAAAAAGAGTTCTGCTGGAAACAGTTGCAGTATGCATAGTTTCAAAGTTTCTAGAGATTAAATAGTTCATTAGCATAGTTTATAAAGTCTCTTAGCAAACTCTTGTCATTAGGACACTGACAAACAAGAAACTTGTTACAATTTATGCTTTGGTCACAAAATGTTCACCTAACAGCAGTGTATATTAGCAATATGAATTTTCTTGTGGTAGCAAATTAAAAATGTCTAATTCTAATACTTAAAAATGTGTGTCACTACTGCTCTAAACTGTATACGTAGTTTTAAGCCAACTGATAATAGTACTTCAAATTATGTCATTGTTTATAGAATCATAATGATGTCTTATTTACTAAAGTGGAGATTGATGAAAATTAACGTATTAATTAATGAATAATAAATGCATCTTACAGCAGCGGTATTTATCTTATAACCTTGTGTTTTCATCCTGATTTATGGGAATTAAATTTGTAAATCCTTGTCTTCATATTATGTTTGAAATAATTATTGCTAGTATACAATTATTCTGTTGATTGAAAAGCCCTCGTGAATACGTTATAAGCTACAACAAGTCACTCAATTTGAAAAAAACTTTTGAAAACAGAATTTGCTGTTCCTAAAAAGTTTTCTTTGTTGTTCATTTCTGTTGGAGCAAGTATAGGCTAATGATTTATTTTTTTGTAAAATTTTTTTTACCTAATGTAGATGTTTGAGTGTGCTTGGTTTTATAATTGAATATTTCCCTCCCATTTGTATACGAATTTACATTTTGAAATTGAGTAGGTAAATAAAAATATACATTCGAATTACGTAAATAGAAAATAACAAACTTGTAATATTAGAGTTGTTATATTATTAGTTGTTATATATATTATATTATGTTATATTAGAATTGAAAAAAGCGCACTTGAAATCCATTTGTATTCCTCCTACCTTTTTCTGAGCTACCACTGAACCAGATTTTGTGTTGGGTGGGGAGGGGGAGGGTAGTTCTCCACACTGCCGAAGGCTAAGCCGTCACAAGTTTAAAAAAACAAAACTTCTTTCGAATAAGATTTTTAGATAAGCTCACCTGTACCATGTTCCAGTAAGGTGTTATCTTTGCCAGACTCTCAGTGACCTGTGAACATCCTGAACCCAGCAGGAAGGGCATGCGTGTGTGAGTGTGTGTGTAGAGAGCGTGGAAATACGTGTCCACTCCAACCCCAGGATCACACTGAAAAATAACAAGTACTTGAAAACATAAAAATAAAAACAAACTTAGAATCCTGACAGATAAAAATTTATTCTAAAAAGCTGAGATCTTATAGTGCTCGTCTAGTCGTTAGATGGTTACTGGCTCGATAATAAAGAAACAATTTTTCAATGTTAAACTTAAATTAATATTTTTTATAATGTGGGTTGATTTCTTCTAAGGCATTTTCTACACCGCAAATGAAAGAGTAATAACAAATATAGACTCTGACAGTACAACAGCTTTAGTAGTGGATTTTACGAATATGAGTATAGTTATTCCAATAAGTTAGCAATAAATAAGTCAGATTTTAAGTGCATCAATGGCCTAATCCATCCAAGCATGTATATCTTTCAAATGGATAAATCGACGATAGACTGTCCTATATGCCTCATTAGCTGGAATATATTACAATAGTGTTCACAAAAGGTTTTGTAATAATTTAAACGTATACAGGATGTTTCAGAATTCTCGTCGGATACTTTAGGGTATTATGCCTAGATTCTTCGTAAGCAAAACAAATTACATACCGTATCAAAAATATTTTAGTGGTTGTCTCTCTGTCTGTAAGTGTTAAAAAAACAAACAATTACAAGTATGTTAAAATAGCTTTGAAACTTGTATGTGTTATGTTTTAGTTATCAATTAACATACGTGGATTTATATCAAAACTCTAACATTACTACCCTAAAGTATGCGACACGAATTCTGAAACATTTTGTACACTTTTTTGTCCTAGAACGCTAGGCACGAGCCTGGGATTGTTTTTCACATTACTTCAGGTTAGACCTAGGGGTTGCGGCATTATCACTTAGATAAAATCCATTGGTGACGTGGCAGGGATCAAACCCGGGACCTCAGGGACTGAAGTCCCTCGCTCTTACCACTACGCCAGCTCGCTCCCCATTCAATTCAACATTCTGTACATTAGGGATCGAAAATATTTTACTTAATACATTTATTTTAAAATGGATATCGTAGCAATGCAATTTATACCACGATCAGAATATAAATAACACTTTGATGATGAGACTTTCAACAACTAACAACTAAACTAAACAACTGAAATGATTTTTTTTATGTCTCATGACACCCTTTCACCCTTTACCAATCTAATTAATTTGGAACCGCAATTTCACACGCCCTATGCCTTATTGAATATTTTAACCTGGAACAAAAGACTGTTGCAAGTCCAATCACGTTCATCCTTTGTAAACTCTTTTAGAAATCCCGATAGCCTGAGCTTTTCTCATTGAAACTTTTGCAATAAAACTTACTCGTGAATGTATGTGCTAAAAAGTGTTTATTATGTAATTTTACTTTTATTCTTAGGGTTCACAAGTAGGCCTTTTTGACGATGTCAAATTATACCAATATTTATTGTCGACTGAAATATTCCATTAAATATAAAAACAATAATTCAAAATATCAAAAAATCTGAAGAAACTGTTAAATATACACACAAAAGTATTTAATTTCATAGATAATGTATTGGAATCAAGCAGGAATTGCTTGAATCTTGTTCTGAAAAATTATTAGTACCTTAATCACTTTTTTAAATTCCTCAAAAAGATAAATTATTACTCAACGAAGGTGTGAAGCATGAGAGTTGTAAATGCCATAAACCGTGATTATGACATCCGACAACAAAGTTTGTTTTGAGGGAGGATTATCACGTTTCCGCTTCACGAAACACCTCTGTTTCCGGCGAGATACGATTGTCATTGCAAATCCGTCTGGAACCATCGCGAAAAAATTCTAAGGCCTACGCAACTTTCCACATTGAAAAAGGTTACAAGTAATATATATTCGACCATGAAGTTTCCATTGCAATTAAGTAGGATAAATTATAAATATTTCTATGAAAATATGATACAGGTAGACTTTGGTATCGATATTATTTTAAAGCCAAGGATAATTCCAAGGATGATATAGCTATATCGATAGTATCGCCAAGGATTAATTAACTGTATTTTGGATCCTAAACCAACATTGTAAAAAAAATGAATATTTTAAGCTATATCAAGGAATATTTTACGACACTCGACAATATATATTTATTAATGATAAAAATACCTGAGAAAATGAAATAATCATAAATAGAATAAAATACTTATTTATTTTATAGTGAAAAATAAATGTTAAAATTAACTGGAATTTTAATTCTAGGAGTAGTTTTTCAGATAACTCGTTTTCAGTTCCACAAATAACTAGATTAACCTATTCTTAAAAATAAAATAATCTAAAAAAATATATATATATCAACGGGCACTATTCAGAAAAATAAGTACGATAGGTATTTTATTTATGGCTGTGAAGAATTTATAGTATGTAATTATAAAAAAAACAGAGTAACTTAAATATAAGTATCCAGCTGCAGGGTGAGTTAGATAGGTTGTTAATTGTCAATTAATAAAATGTGTTTATGTCACGTTATATAAAAACACCCTCAAGCTTTCCCCGTGCCGTACATCAGAATATAAATTAGTAATTAAAAAATAAATGTATTAAAGCTGCTGTAAAAATATAATTCAAATTACTTCTTTTAACGATCAAACAACGTATGAAGTTTTAACATTACTGTATCCTGCATTAGCGTAAAATCTTTAACATTTTAAACATTCAATCAAATAATGGTGGATTACAAATCTTGAATAATTTTTCCCTGGAGACTAATTAATCTCAAAGTTCCGAGGATAAAGCATAACATCCAGCTAAAAGATTCAATAGAAGTCTTGAGAGCCTAGACTTCTTTGCTTGAAATATAGCCTAAGTTTGTCCACCGGTGTTTACACAATGAAAAATACATACGTTACATCGTGTGATATAAATAGTATAAATATATTAGTATAGTATAACGGTTTCCAATTGTTTTACAACAAATTTGCTCAGCTATATTGCGTAGCATTGAAGTAAAAACCAGTTTGATATTTTTCTGACTATTGCAATGGTAAGTCGTCCAAAAACATTTAATAAACTTAATCAAAAAACTATACATACATTTTACATTCATTATCCACCTATATTTTCGTTGGAAAAGTTCCACCTCACTGGTTAACAAAGTTATGAAGCACCAAGAAGATGAGGCAACATCAATCTTTGTTATCGAGAACAGTTTTAAAAGTCAAACAAGAGAATATTTAAAATAACCCAAAGGCAGTTTTATAAACGTGTCAGGTTGTTTATGTAATACATTACACAACAATAATAATTTGTTAAATACTCGTCTTGCATGTATGTAGTGATTGAGTAGTTATAAACGTATAACGTTATCCCAGAAAAAGATTATTAAGGTACAATGTGTAAAAATAGATAATACCTTATGGTGTGTGAGGTATTGTTACATAGTTTATGTTCAATGAATAATTTAAGAAATAACATTGGAAAGTAGATAATACTTACTTTAAAACATTCTAAAATGGTTGATCAATAGGTACAGACATGCACCATACACTTATCTTGTAAAATTGTATGTAAAACTAAATTCTGGTACTGACCTGGATTTTTTAATCACAAACAACACAATTTAAAAAGACGATAATAAATATGGAACAAAACCTTCACTTTGTATAGTAGTAAATGTATATTAGGCTAGCCTATTCCTCTAGAACACAAAAGTATGATGTTTGTTGCATGCAACAACAAAATAAGTTGTAAACTTTTAAACATCTATAATGTTTATGTTTTTATATAATATACATAATTTAAATGAAACAAAAAATTATACTTAGGTTAAAAAAGAATATATATTAAATGCCAATTTCTTCGCCATTATTATTCTTGAGAAAAACGAAAAATGGTTATATTACGTGGTGCTTGAATATTTAATTTTTCATAATATCTACATGTAGATTAAGTTTATTGAACACCCAATTTTAACTACTGTGTATTTATAAAAATACATTTTGGTTATTTATTCTGTAAGAAAACCTATTCAAATCTTGCGTGAAGTAAATACATTTTACGAACAACATTTAACTTATTTATATCAAGAAATATAATGAACTTTCAAAAACTTTGAAAAACACACGATAGAAGTGTCTTGCATTCACAAGTAGAAAAATATACCGTTTTAAAAATTTTAATTAACGTATCTTTAGGTGAATTATGTATTCTATACTAAAACTATACGGTAGCATTAGTGAAACTGAATTTTCCACATAAATAAAGAGACCATTGCAGGAAATTGTGATCCTTGATAAAAACAAATTTTCACAACCATATTTATTCGTTATTTTTCTAATAATACTTTTTTATAATCATTATGAGATATTTGTACTAATTTTCTTGAATTAAATAATACATATACCAACTCAAAATATTATATATAAAAAGGATATGAATGTACTAGTTTGCATAGGAAATAAATACAGAATTTAGTTAGATAAAATATAAGGATGTCGCATTTATTTACTAAACAAAAATGCGCTGAGTTCGTCAAAGGAAGTATCTGTCTCGTTTCTCCTTTCTCTTTAACATGTGGCAGGGATATGTTGACATTCTCTATGCATAATTTTCTTTGCCCTACAGCTTGTCATAAGATTTGTATTCATGTGATATTTCGTTATATTGTGTTCTAAGCAAAAACTATGTAAGACTGGAACTTAGTTGTTGATAAATTATTTTGGATGGCGTAAGTGTGAACATTCTATGAACTAGTAGATATAATACCAGAATATGACCCCACTTTCGGCGTTTTAGAGGCACTTTTAGGGCACTTTTTATAGGGGAAAAATGAGAAAAAAATGGAAGAGCTTTTTTTGGCCACTTTTTTTAAAGACCCAGCTCTCGACCTATACACCCCTATATAAATTTTCTACTTTTGTTAATACTAAAAATCACGTCTGGAAATGGTGAGCTTTTTATGGCCACTTTTTTAAAGACCTGGATCTCGTCCAATACAAGCCTATATAAATGTTCAAACTCCATTAAAATTTCAAATCCACATCCATTCCCATGTATATTTTCAAAATCATGTGAGG